GATTTTCGTGTGCAAGTTCGGTACTAGTCCCTCTAGGATTTTCCAGGTGTATACTGTATCCAGAAATGGAATGGTGTGATGAAAAATATCAAAAGTCATATAATAAACAGTGTGACAAGATACTCCCAGAAAACAAGTGTAGGTGACATGAGTGGTAGTGGGGAATGGGAGGAGTTATGCCCACTAATGCTCTGAACTCAACAGACCCAATTTGACCCAGAACAGAAAAATTTTATCCCATGTAATAAGCTAATTTGATACTATGGAAAGCTATGCCATGTAGTATCAATATTTTGTACATTAGCAGATTTTTTAATACTTTACATCAATTAATATCAAGGTTCAAAATAATATCAAACTTTTTGGTTGAGCTTTGGAACAATGTTGCAAGAAAATCCAAGAGCTTAAAGTCGAGTTGTAAGAGGGTTTATTTTTTTGACCTCTACATAAAAACTTGTCTGGTTCATGTTTTTATTTGTCTTCATGTGAATTCTAAGGAACTGATATATTATTACAACTAATATTTAAATGTCTTTATTATGCAACCTATACCTATCCTCTCCAAGTGGACCCAGATACAGTGGTCCCTCGATTATCGACGGTAATCCGTTCCTGGAAGCCGGTCGATTATCGAAATGGTCGATTTACGAGCTTTGCAGTGTCTGCAATGGAAGACACTGTCATGCAGATTCGGGTGTCATCTGCAAAGGAAGACACGGTGCTGTGGCTGACATCCTTGTCTATGTCGGATATGAGGATGAGGAACAAGATGGGAGCTAGTACTGTGCCTTGTGGAACAGAGCTTTTCACCGTAGCTGCCTCGGACTTTACTCTGTTGACGACTACTCTCTGTGTTCTGTTAGTGAGGAAATTATAGATCCATCGACCGACTTTTCCTGTTATTCCTTTAGCACGCATTTTGTGCGCTATTACGCCATGGTCACACTTGTCGAAGGCTTTTGCAAAGTCTGTATATATTACATCTGCATTCTTTTTGTCTTCTAGTGCATTTAGGACCTTGTCGTAGTGGTCCTGTCTGTCTCAACTATTGGACCACTACGACAAGGTCCTAAATGCACTAGAAGACAAAAGAATGCAGATGTAATATATACAGACTTTGCAAAAGCCTTCGACAAGTGTGACCAGGGCGTAATAGCGCACAAAATGCGTGCTAAAGGAATAACAGGAAAAGTCGGTCGATGGATCTATAATTTCCTCACTAACAGAACACAGAGAGTAGTCGTCAACAAAAGTAAAGTCCGAGGCAGCTACGGTGAAAAGCTCTGTTCCACAAGGCACAGTACTAGCTCCCATCTTGTTCCTCATCCTCATATCCGACATAGACAAGGATGTCAGCCACAGCACCGTGTCTTCCTTTGCAGATGACACCCGAATCTGCATGACAGTGTTTCCATTGCAGACACTGCAAAGCTCCAGGCAGACATCAACCAAAAATCTTTCAGTGGGCTGCAGAAAACAATATGAAGTTCAACGATGAGAAATTTCAATTACTCAGATATGGTAAACATGAGGAAATTAAATCTTCATCAGAGTACAAAACAAATTCTGGCCACAAAATAGAGCGAAACACCCAACGTCAAAGACCTGGGAGTGATCATGTCGGAGGATCTCACCTTCAAGGACCATAACATTGTATCAATCGCATCTGCTAGAAAAATGACAGGATGGATAATGAGAACCTTCAAAACTAGGGAGGCCAAGCCCATGATGACACTCTTCAGGTCACTTGTTCTATCTAGGCTGGAATATTGCTGCACACTAACAGCACCTTTCAAGGCAGGTGAAATTGCCGACCTAGAAAATGTACAGAGAACTTTCACGGCGCGCATAACGGAGATAAAACACCTCAATTATTGGGAGCGCTTGAGGTTCCTAAACCTGTATTCCCTGGAACGCAGGAGGGAGAGATACATGATTATATACACCGGGAAAAATTTCCTAGAGGGACTAGTACCGAACTTGCACACGAAAATCACCCATACGAAAGCAAAAGACTTGGCAGACGATGCACCATCCCCCCAATGAAAAGCAGGGGTGTCACTAGCACGTTAAGAGACCATACAATAAGTGTCAGGGGCCCGAGACTGTTCAACTGCCTCCCAGCACACATAAGGGGGATTACCAACAGACCCCTGGCAGTCTTCAAGCTGGCACTGGACAAGCACCTAAAGTCAGTTCCGGATCAGCCGGGCTGTGGCTCGTATGTTGGTTTGCGTGCAGCCAGCAGCAACAGCCTGGTTGATCAGGCTCTGATCCACCAGGAGGCCTGGTCTCAGACCGGGCCGCGGGGGCGTTGACCCCCGGAACTCTCTCCAGGTAAACTCCAGGTAATCCGTTCCTGACACCCAGAAGTATTAGAACAAAAAAATTTTTTACATGAAATATTCATGTAGTACATAAACAATACAATGGGAAATGATGAATGAAACATTAACAGCATAACACTTCCTTTATTGGAGATTCTTCTTAGTGTATGGGAGACTGGAGGAGGAGGAGAGAGTGGATTGTTTATAGTTTGGAAGGGGAATCCCCTTCCAGCAACACCTCAGGTACCATTTGCTTTTCTGGGGTTGCTTCTTTTCTCTGTTTCTTAATGCCACTAGGACCAGCTTGAGAGTCACTGGAGTCCTGTCTCGCAAATAACTGTGCAGAGAGCTCTGTTTCTGGCGTCTCTTTAAAACTTCCCTAAAATGGGCCAAGACTCTGTCACTGTACAAGTTGCCGATATGGCTTGCAACACCCTTTTCTCTGGGTGATGTTTCTCCATAAATCTTTCCATCTTACCCCACATAGTAAAAATCTCCTTAATTTCTGAAGAAGGCACCTTCTTCCATCTCTCTTCCTCCTCCTCTGCAGCAAGATTCTGAGCTGCGATCTGTTGCTCTTCCTGCTGAAGCTCTTGCAGCTCCTCAGTGGTTAGCTCTTCGTTGTGGCCCTCCACCACTCTTCCACATCCTCCAAACTCACATCCAACCCCATGGAACTCCCCAGTGCCACAATAGAGTTCAAAACTGACATAGGCTCATCAGGGTCAGCCCCAAACCCTTCCAAATCCCTCTTGTCGACACAATCTGGCCACAATTTTCTCCAAGCAGAGTTCAAAGTCCTGGTAGACACTCCCTCCCAAGCCTTACCTATAAGGCTTACACAATGGAAAATACTGAAATGTTCTTTCCAAAAATCTCGTAGGGTCAAGTGAGTGTCTGAGGTCACATTGAAGCACCTTTCAAACATTGCTTTGGTGTACAGTTTTTTAAGGTTTGCAATGACCTGCTGGTCCATGAGTTGGAGGAGAGGAGTGGTATTCGGGGGCAAGAACTTTACTGAGATGAACCCAAACTCCTTCAGAATTAGGTCATCCAAGTTTGGTGGATGAGCAGGTGCATTGTCCATTACTAGCAGGCACTTGAGATCTAATTTCTTCTCCAGGAGGTAATTCTTCACACTAGGGCCAAACACTTCGTTGAACCACTCTACAAAAATTTCCCTCGTGACCCATGCCTTATTATTAGATTTCCAAAACACACACAATTTACTCTTCATAACATTATTTTTCTTAAATGCTCTGGGATTTTCAGAATGGTACACTAGTAACGGCTTCACTTTGAAATCCCCACTAGCATTAGCACAGAACATTAGCGTCAGCCTGTCTTTCATAGGCTTGTGTCCTGGCATTGACTTTTCCTCTTGTGTAATGAAGGTCCTCTTTGGCATTTTCTTCCAGAAGAGGCCTGTTTCGTCACAATTGAACACTTGTTCAGGTTTCAGTCCTTCAGCCTCTATGTACTCCTGGAATTCATGCACATATTTTTCAGCCGCCTTGTGGTCCGAACTGGCAGCCTCACCATGCCTTACCACACTGTGTATGCCAGTATGCTTCTTAAATCTCTCAAACCAGCCTTTGCTGGCCTTAAAATCACTCACTTCACCACTATTTGCAGGCAATTTATTTTCCAAATCTTCATGCAACTGCCTAGCCTTTTCACAAATAATCGAGGTCATAAGACTGTCTCCTGCTAATTGTTTCTCATTTATCCACACCAATAATAACTTCTCAACCTCTTCCAGTACTGGTGATCTCATTTTTGTCAGCATATTTACCCCCTTTTTCAACAACAGCATCCTTGATTTCCTTTCTCATGGCTATGATGGAAGATATGGTTGAATGATTTTTGTTATACATCCTCGCCAGTTCGCCCACACGTACGCCACTATCATATTGTTCAATGATGTTTTTCTTAAATTCAATGGTATTTCTCACCTTCTTTACCAAAGGTTTGGCACTAGGAGCTTTCTTTGGAGCCATGGTAGCTTATTTAGCACTTAAATAACTTGCAAGCACTAAAATAAATGAAATATTATGAAATATTTCACTGGAGCACGTGAGAGGACCGCTGCTAACTGGTAAACAATGACACACTGGCTGGGAAGGAAGGCTGAGGCGGGTCGAGGCCCGCTTACCTCGTGCATACGCGTCTGGGACGACGGGTCGTGACAGGTCGATAAACGAATTTCGGTCAATTTCCGAGTCAATATTTTGTCAAAAAAAACGGTTGATTTCCGAAATGGTCGACTTTCAGGCCGGTCGATTATTGAGGGACCACTGTACTTGTCAGTGAAGAGTTGCTGCTCCTTCCTTATATACAGTATGTCCAAAGAAGATGGATTATTGCCATATTTATATCACTAATTAAATCTAGTACTGTACATTCATACAACTGCAACAATTTCTAAAAAAAAAAAAAACAGGATTTGTGAAAAGGTGTCACTGCACCTCAGTTTTGGCACTGTTAATGTTGGACCCTGTGGATCAGACTGTGTCAAAGAAAAATCACCAAACTGATAACTTGCTTATATCATTGTTGTCCCTGGAAACCCTTGACCCCATTCTGTAAAATTTATAGCAGACACCCATGTGTCTACCTACTGTTTATGGTAAACTTTAGTACTTGTCTATAGTTTTTTAATGATTCACTTACCTGGATCTCCTACTAGCAGAAGATGAGACTCTCCCCTGATTCTGGTACAACTTGTATCTACTTTTTGCATGCCACCTGCAACCACCACAGCAACTGCTAACTTAACCACATATAGTCCATACACCTAGTCAAAAAAATAAAATATAGTGATTAGTGCTTACCTTAACTGTAATAAATCTCTTACATTTGCTTAAGATCAGTTCAGTTTGGGAAGTGCAATGCCTGCACTCTAAAGGAGGTGTGAGGAAGTCTCAGCATGGAGAGTCATCCAAACTGTGATATCAACATGCTTTCATGCAACATACTTCAAATAACTAAATGACTGAAGGGGAATGTGCTCTATTTTGGGGGTTACCCTACTTTTGTGGAAGATATTCGACAAGTTAAAAAAAATTCTCAAACTATCAATGAGAATATACTTCTTTCAACAAACCAACAGTATTCCACCAAGGCAGGGTGGCCAAAAAAAAAAAAAAACGAAAGCTTCTCTTTTTAACTTTAGTAATATATACAGGAGAAGGGTTACTAGCCCCTTGCTCCTGGCATTTTAGTCGCCTCTTACAGCACGCATGGCTTATGGAGGAAGAATTTTGTTCCACTTAAGATAAAGATAAAGATTTTATTTCTTTGCAATGTTTACAATGTGTTATTACAATTTTGATTAAAGTACAGCCTCTACTCACTTAGCAACGTACTTGTTTATCAATGCTTCAGACATACGATGGGCTCTCTGACCAGTATGCATGCCTAAATAATGTATATTAGAGCTGATTTTTTCTTTTCTGTTTATTACAATATATAGTACACTGGGTCGGCCTAGGAAAGGTTGGAGAGAGGGGGTAAAGGAGGTTTTGTGTGCGAGGGGCTTGGACTTCCAGCAGGTATGCGTGAGAGTGTTTGATAGGAGTGAATGGAGACAAATGGTTTTTAATACTTGACGTGCTGTTGGAGTGTGAGCAAAGTAACATTTATGAAGGGGTTCAGGGAAACCGGCAGGCCGGACTTGAGTACTGGAGATGGGAAGTACAGTGCCTGCACTCTGAAGGAGGGGTGTTAATGTTGCAGTTTAAAAACTGTAGTGTAAAGCACCCTTCTGGCAAGACAGTGATGGAGTGAATGATGGTGAAAGTTTTTCTTTTTCAGGCCACCCTGCCTTGGTGGGAATCGGCCAGTGTGATAATAAAAAAAAAAAAAATAGTACACTACTGTATAAACATTTAAAAATATACGAGAAATGTTATAAATGGTGCAAAGGTGATATTAAAAGAATATCAAAGATAGTTGACACAAACCCACTACCATTATAGTATGCGCCTCACTTAGTGATGAATTCGTTTACCGATGTGGTTTTAGGAATGGAACAATGGAACTCCGTCATTAAGTGAGGAGAGGCTGTACAAAGAAAGCCACTATCATGCTGGGGCATTTTGGGCAGACTAAACATAATACTTACAGAATAATTAATACTAGTGATTTAGGGAGGAGTAAATTTTTATTATACATATATGGAGATAAGAGGAAATAAACAAGAACAAGAACTAGAAAGAAAATAGAAGAAAACCCAGAGGGGTGTGTGTATACATATGCTTGTACATGCATGTGTAGTGTGACCTAAGTGTAAGTAGAAGTAGCAAGACGGTGTACCTGAAATCCTGCATGGTTATGAGACAGAAAAAAAGACACCAGCAATCCTACTGTCATGTAAAACAATTACAGGCTCCCGTTTTACACTCACTTGGCAGGATGGTAGTACTTCCCTCAGCAGTTGCTGTCTACCAACTTACTACCCAGGAAAATACTATTCACAGTAAAATTTTTAGCTGCCTCATATCATTCCTTATCTTAACCTGCTGCAGTATGTTTATAAGTTGAAGAATATTCTTCACATGTTTATATCTCCAGATATGTAACAGAACACATGGACACAGTACAAGGAACAAGTGTCTATATGACATTCCACACATACGTCTCAACCTGTTCAAAATCTCCAGGCTAATAAAAGGCCCAAGAGTATGGAAATCAATGTCTGAAAATGACAAAAGATTCCCATCTGCCAGTATCTTTATTAATATTATGAAAAAGTCACTGAACCAATGTAATTTATTTATTTTTTTTTTTTTAACACGTCGGTCGTCTCCCACTGAGGCAGGGTGACCCAAAAACAGAAAGAAAATCCCCAAAAAGAAAATACTTTCATCATCATTCAACACTTTCACCACACTCACACAGTATCACTGCTTTTGCAGAGGTGCTCAGAATACAACAGTTTAGAAGCATATACGTATAAAGATACACAACATATCCCTCCAAACTGCCAATATCCCAAACCCCTCCTTTAAAGTGCAGGCATTGTACTTCCCATTTCCAGGACTCAAGTTCGACTATATGAAAATAACCGGTTTCCCTGAATCCCTTCACTAAATATTACCCTGCTCACACTCCAACAGATCGTCAGGTCCCAAGTATCATTCGTCTCCATTCACTCCTATCTAACACGCTCATGCACACTTGCTGGAAGTCCAAGCCCCTCGCCCACAAAACCTCCTTTACCCCCTCTTTCCAAACCCTTTCGAGAACGACCCTACCCTCTTTCCTTCCCCTATAGATTTATATGCTTTCCACGTCATTCTACTTTGATCCATTCTCATATACATGACCAAACCACCTCAACAACCCTCTTCTGCCCTCTGACTAATGCTTTTATTAACTCCACACCTTCTCCTAATTTCCACATCCGAATTTTCTGCATAATATTTACACCACACATTGCCCTTAGACAGGACATCTCCACTGCCTCCAACCATCTCCTCGCTGCTGCATTTACCACCCAAGCTTCACATCCATTAAGAGTGTTGGTACTACTATACTTTCATACATCCTTCTTTGCCTCCATAGATAACATTTTTTTGACTCCACATATACCTAACGCACACTCACCTTTTTTCCCTCATCAATTCTATGATTAACCTCATCCTTCATAAATCCATCCGCCGACACGTCAACTCCCAAGTATCTGAAAACATTCACTTCTTCCATACTCCCCCTCCCCAATTTGTACCCAATTTTTTCTTTATCTAAACATTTGATACCCTCATCCTTACTCTTTTCTTTTTCATTTTCAACTTTCTACCTTTACCATTTTCTCAAACTATCCACTAACCTTTGCAATTTTTTTTTTTGAATCTCCCATAAGCAGTATCTTAACAAAAAGTAACTGTGTCAATTCCCTTTTTGAATTTGTTCCCCCATAATTTTAAAACCCAAAACCCCCTCCCCCGAACACCTAGCATTTACTTTTTTTAAAACCCCCCATTAAAAATATATTAACCCTTTGCTTCGTGGTCGTATATGTAGTCATAGGAGATACCGGTACCGTGTTTGACTACTATACCCATAAATTCTAGGGGCTTCAAATAACGGGAAAAAGCTAGTAGGCCCACTGTGGAGAATGGGTCTCCATGGTTGTGTACCCCATTAAAAAAAATCGGGGAGCAGTGGTGCATTGTGGGAATTTCCATTTAGTTGTCCTTTTTCAGCAATTCTAGGGGTAAAAAATAGTGACTTCCCCGCAAATCTGGGACTCTTTTCTTCCCAAGTGATGCTCAACACGATGGAAGGTCAATGAAAAATCAATTTTATGATTTGAGGAGTTTTTAGCCAAAAGCAAAAGGGGAGGTGGAGGAGGAGGAGGAGGGGGAGGAAGAAAAGAGGAGGAGGAGGAAGAGGGGAGGAAGAAGAGGAGGAGGGAAAAAGAGGAGGAGGGAAAAAGAGGGGGGAAGGAAGGAGGAAGAGGAAGGAAGGAAGGGGAAGAGGAAGGAAGGAGGGGGGGGAGGGAAAGGGGGGAGGAGGAAGGGGGGGAGGAGGAAGAAGGAGGGAGGAGGAAGAAGGAGGAGGAGGAAAGGGGGGAGGAGGTGGGGGGGGGTGGAGGAAGGAGGGGGGAGGAAGAAGGAGGGGGAGGAGGGAAAGGGGGGGGAGGGAGGGAAGGGGGGAAGGGGGAAGGAGGGGGAAGAAAAAGAAGAAGAAGAATAAAAAGAAAAAAAAGAATAAGAATAATAATAATCCCAATCCTAATAAAAATAATATGTAAAATATGTTCCCTTGAGGCATGAAAACAGTTCACCCATGACGTGGGCAAGATAAGGGGAGAAACATCTGATAAGAGCTGACCTTTGATGAGCAAAACCCGAGGGTGGGGGGGGGGGGGGCAGCTGTCCCATCGGGTCAAGAGCCGGGAGGAGGAGGAGGAGGGGGGAGGAGGAGAAAGGAGGAGGAGGGGGAGAAGGAGGAGAAGGAGGAGGAAAAAAGGGGGGGAAGGGGGGGGAAAAGGAGGGGGAGGGGGAAAGAAGGAGGAGAAGGAGGAGGGGAGGAGGAAGGAGGGGAGAAGGAGAAGGAGGAGGGGGGGAGGAGGGGGGAGGAGATGCGACGACGAAAAAACTTTTTGTTTTGTCGGGCCCTTTTTTGTCTGTCTCCCCAAAACCCCCTTCTATCCGTCTAGCCCCTGTCTCAGAGAGGGGGCCACAAGCTGTGTCATTCACTTTATTTAAAAACTTCAACCCGAGTATAGCACTTTGCCCTGGTTTTTTTTTTGGGTTTATCCAAATTTAATTACCCCTATGTTATTTTTATTTAGGGTGTCCCTTATGAGACAAGATAGACAGAGAGAGAGAAAGAGAGACAGTTAAAAAGGGGAAAAGAAGGGAGGGGGGAAAAGTTTTAATTAGATAGAATGGAGGGGGGAAGGCATCCGACCCCATTTTTTTGGACAGCGGTAGGGGAAAGTAATAATGAGAAATATGTCTTTTTGACAGCTGCCCAGGGCCTGACTCAAAACAATTAAACCCAAACCAAAACTCACACGCAAGACAAGCTTGCTGAAGGGTGTTAATGGGTTTTTTTAAATGAAAGTATCTAGTGACTATATATGTGTATATATATTATAGAAACCAAAGAAAGGGGGGGGAAAGGGCAGGAAAAAGGAAGGAAGTTAAAAGGGAAAGGAAAAAAAAGAAATTTGAAGGACAAAATAAAAGGAATGGGGGAAAAGGGGGTTTAAATTGCCCCCCCGGGTAGCCTCCAGGTAGGAAAGGAATAAAGGGGGGAAATTGGAAGGGAAAGATGACACAC